ATCCACTGACTCCATCTATATTTCTCGCTGTCTCGGGAAGGCAGCCAACATAATCAAAGACTCCTTCCACCCCGGTTACGATTTCTTCCAACCTCTTCCATCAGGCAGGAGATACAAAAGCTTAAACACAAGTACCAACAGATTCAAGAACAGCTTCCGCCTTGCTGTTATTAGACTTCTGAATGGACCTCTGAAATTTTGAATTTAATGTTGATCTTGTTCTTTGTGAACCTTCTCTGCAGGCGTAACATTGTAATCCTTGCTTTGTTCTATTATCCTAATGCACTTTGTATGGTATGATGTGCCTGTACTGCACGCAAAACAAACCTTTTCACTGTACCTAGGTATGTGAGACAATAATAAATCAAATCAAGTGGAAGTGGCACAGGCCACCCATATGCCTGGTTTGTTTCCAGTGCGCACTCACTTTGCCATGGTGGTGAACTCGCTCCGCTGGCGTACAGCATTCAGGAGAGGCTTGTTAACCTGTAGCCCATTCTGAAAAGACAAAAATCAGATGCAGGGGAATAAAATGGCATGCATAAAAATTAAGATGTGTATTCAGACAGCACCTTTGACAATCCCAGAAAGGCTTAAGGTCTTCCATAGCCAAAAAAAACACTTTTGTTGTTAATAGTATGTCAGTGATGGAATGTAGACAACATGGCAGCTCAGTTGTGCACAGAAAGATCCCATAAACAACAAGTTAATAATGTGACCATGTGTTTTATTGATGGAGAGGAAGACCACACAGCTGGGTGGGGGTTGAAGAGCCTGAGGGGAGATGAAGTGAGCACGTGCACGGGACGAAACATTTGCTACTAAGATTAGCACAGTGTCGACCCAATAGCTGCAGAGATTCTCTATCACTCCATCCCTCACACACCATCCACTTCCACAGGAGACCATGAACACTCACCTGTCTGCTTTGCATGGACTTGCAAGCAGCAACAAACTCCTGCGTGCGATCGCGGCAGGACATGATCTCTCCCTGAAAGGCGGGGGCTGGGCCAGAAGCGATTGATGCTGAAGGGGCAGGTTTGGAAGTGAGGACTTGCGTCTGCGTTGGCCCAAGGTAGACTCCCTGCTCAGTACTGGAGGGACCGTGGCGTCTTCGCGTATTCATCGAGGCTCATAACCCCTGCCTGGAGACGAGACCAGAGCGAGAATTCATATCGACAACCTGCATTTATACAGTGCCTCTAAGATGCCAAGACCATCCATCTCCAGTGCTTCCTAGAGTGGTATCTAAGGAGACCAAAAGCTCAGACAAAAGGGTTTAAGTTTTCAGGACCCTTTAAAAGGAGGCAAGAGGGAGGTGGGGAGGTATTTTCAGATCTTAGGGCTCAGACAGCTGAAGGCTGGCCACCAATGGTGCAATCAAGGATGGTCAAGATGACAAAACTGAAGAGATTTCAAAGGACAGCAGTGCTGAAGAAGCTCAGTGTTAATAAGGGACAAATCTATGGCAGTATTGGAAACCAAGAATGAGAATTTTAAAATCAAAACATTGTTGGACATGGGTCAGCGAGCACAGGATATGGGGGTCACAGTGGAAATGGCAACTTGTGGATCAGGACCAAGCCATTTCTTCCAACACTAATACTCTCAGATGGCAGCTCTTCAGCAGACGATGACACTGATAGACAGACACACATCATCATTATGACAGCCACACATCTACAGCTCTGACCAGTATTTAGTTGTAAACTCAATAAGCTGCTAAGCACGTCATCCTCAGCAAAGCTGGAGGAAATGTAGGGCCAGCTTGTCTCCCTGCATACATGACCATAAACCACCTCCCCCACCCCCAACAAATAGAAACATTTTAACTCATGCGCCATCAACAGATAAGCTCAATGTTAAGTTGAGGTTAGGGCAGTGTGGCCAGTGTGTTAGGGCATACTGTGTGCTCTTGTTGTTGTCTATTTAGTAGGTACCTGTGGATGAAGTTGTGGAGATATCTGTTCATAGCAAAGATTTTGTATAAATGCTCTTCCTCTTTCCTGTATAGTTCTGGCGTGTTGCAGTGAGTGGTGGCCCATTTAAATAGTTATTTCAGAATGGAAGAGCAGGCTCAAGCGGCTGAATGGCACGTTCCGGCCCTTAATTCATATGCTTATATGCTGACATGTAATCTGACTTTGAGAGGCAAAAGTACAGACAAGAGTGAGAGATGAGTGTATTGTGGGATCCTCTGCAGAGTAAACCCAACTTTTGACACTTACATTTCATTTAAAGTAAGTCCCTCCTTGCTATTGGGGTTGGAGGGAAGGGGGTTTACTTTGACTTCATTTATTATTGTTGCACGTACCTAAGTACAGTGAAAAGTTGTTTTGTGTGCAGCATAGGCAGATCATACCACACAGAGTGCATTAGGGAATAGAGGTGTGCGAGGAATGCAATGTTACAGCTGCAGAGGCTTATAGTGAATACTGAAGACTGGAACTTACAAGATAACCCGAAAAAATTAGTCAAACGGCATAGAAATATCATATTAAATCTAATATAGATAAGTTAGAGTGATGCATCTCAGTGGGAAGAATGAAGAGGTCATTAGGTCCTTGAATGATAAACAGGGTAGAGGAGTAGAGACATGTGGACACAGATTTCTACATCAATAGAAGCAGTGACATAGATTGTGCTTTTAATAATTTGTTTAGTCTAAGTACGATAAGTTCTATAGAGACAATTGAAAAGTGGAGGCATTGTGTTAAACTTTCGTCAAATCTTAATTGGACTGAACTTGGAAGATATTGCGAACATATTTCACATCCATTTTATGAAACAGACATAAAAGCACCCAGACAATGGGCAACGAAAAATATTAAAAGGTTGATACTGAAACTGAAAGGTTATATCTCTCTATTTCTTACCCTGCACAAAAATACACTGTTTGTCTGTTCTACAAGCCTAAGTGGTCATAATTTAATGTGAAGACATGCAAAATGATTCACTTTAGGAGGAAGACTGAAAGGTAATATAAAATATAGGGTGAAGTTCTATACGGGCCCTGGGAGCAGAGGGATGTTTTCATGCAAACTCATTGAAGGTGGCACAGCCGGTTCGGTCACTAAAGCATACAGATTCTGGAATTTATGAATAGGGGCATAAAGAACAAAAAACAAGGACGTTGCAACAAACCTGCATAAAGCACTGGTTCTGGTTCAGCTGGAGTAGTGTGTCACACTTTAAGAAGGATGAGGAGGGATCGGAGAGGGAGAAGCCTAGATTCATAACAATTATTCGAAGGACAAGGGGATTCAGATACATTGGAGAAGTTGGGGCTGTTTTCCTTGGTGTTTTGACTGAGGTGCTCAAAATCATGAGGGGCCTGGATGAGTAGATAGGGAGAGACTGTTATCAGTGAACTAGGGAACACAGTTTTAAGATAATTGACAAAACAAGCAATGGAAACATAAACAGAAACTTCTTCACACAGAGAGTGGTTTGGATCTGGAATGTGCTGCCGACAGATTTCAAAAAACATTTGAGAGGGAGTTGAACAATTATGTGAAGAGAAAATAGTTACAGGGCTATGGGCAAAGGCAGGAGTGCAGCACTGCGTGAGTTGCTCTCTATCGCTGTATGGTGCTGCAGCCCTTCCCAGAAGTCTGTGCTCCTCCAATTCAGGTGTCTTGTCCATGCCTTATTTTCATCATTCACTTTTGGAAACCTTGCATTCAGCAAAGCCATAAGCTTTGGAGTTGCTTCAAGAGGGCTCTCTTCCCCTCTTTTAAGACTCTCCTCAAAAACTACAGCTGACTGAGCTTCATTTGCTCTAGTATCCACTTCTGTAACTCTCAGTCAAATTTTGGAACTCCTGCACAGCACCAGTGTACATTTTATTACATTAAAAACAAGTTGTTTGTGTCTGTTCAGTCTGTGCCTCCAATCTCTATGCTCTAGGACTCTCTTCCTAAACTCTTTCACTTCCTTTAAGACCTCATTTAAATCCCAGCTCTACGGTCAAGTATTGGGCTCCTTAACTCTCATATTCAACTTGGTCTCCATTTTGTTCCTCACACCTGAGACCCCCACCCCAGAGGCATTCCGTTATGTTAGAACATACGAATTAGGGAGCAGAAGGAGACCATTCTGCCCCTCGAGATTGCTCTGCCATTCAAAACAAGCGTGGTTGATCAGATTGTGGCCTCCATGTACTTTTCTAGTTACCCCCATATCCTTAGATTCTTCCTTAACAAGGGACATTAATTTATCTCTGTATCAAAAGCATTTAACTACCGTGTGCCTGTCATTCTCCGGGGAAGAGAAGAGAATTCCAATGAGTTACAACCCTCAGAAAAATACACTTCTCAACTCCATCTCAAATGGGAGACCCCTTATTTCCAAACTGTGTTCCCTAGTTCCAGTCATTCCTCAAAGTCATCTGCTAATCAACCTGCAACACTTGCACCCACTCTCCTGCCCAAGCACCCCCCGCAAAACAAAATCAATGGTCCTTTCGTTCTACTCCCAATTCCTTCAATCCAAACGAACATGCAGGCAAGCTAATTACAAGCAATGTAACCTGGCAGCTCCAGTAACTAGCCAAACCAAGCCAGAAACTGAAATCTTCCTATTCTCTTGAAATATTCCAAACTGCGCTTAAAACACCAGTGGTGAGATTGACACCTTTTGGTGTGACATACAGCTTGACACCAGTCATTAATGGGCTAGATTCTGACTTAGCTCCCTCTTTAAACAGTCAAAGGTGAATAGAATTTAACTGAGGGTGCGGATTTGTATATATTGGAGAGTAGTTTGAAACAAAAACAGCACTGTTTTCAATGCCTGGCAAGGTTTCTGAGTTGTCCCTCATCTGTAACCTACTTGAAAAATCACTATCTCACATTTGTTATTTTATCCATGGTCACAGTTGCCAGCCCAAATTATCATTGTCTTTGGTCCCTGACTAAGGTGGTCGCGGATTCCAGACCCACTCCAAAAGACTTGAGCTCATAAACTCCAACTCCAAACCCTGCTATGCCATGCCATGCCAGTATAATCTATATTTCTATAGTTTTTACCCTAGAGAAATGGGATCCTAGAGCGTTTGGTCTCTCAAACCACAAGGGGGATTTATAATGTTCTCTTCTGAGCAGGGATATGTGAGCATGGACCACTGCTTTTAGCAGCTGCTCTTTGCAATCAATGAATGATCCCTTTCTCTCATATACAGAGTTGGAGGAAGAGAATGTTAGAGGGCGTGCTGCAGTATTCAAGGTGCCACATTTTAGATAAGTCAAACTGAGGCCCCATCTGCCCCCTCAAGCAGGCAGAGAAAGATCCAATAGAAAACATAGTAAGTGGAGAGGGGTCAGGGTGAATTTTCTCTACTGCCCTGGGGTGCAGCGTTTATCCCTTAGCTTACATTCACTAGAACAGTTTCTGGGACCACATATTCAACGAACATGCATGGCAGCTTGCTGTGCATGCGCTGGTCGCAACATTTCTGACATTCCAGGAGTGACAAGACTTGGGAAGCCCCGAGATTGCGAAAAGGAAATTCTTCCTCTAGATCAGTCGATGATTTTCTCGTTCACGAGCAAGTGCCAACAACAGCTGGCTCGATCCAGAGGAGCCCAGCAAAACGAGTGTGAATCCACCCCCCCACTGTCTTCAACTAACACAAGTGCAACCATATGCACTCCCTCCCATAAGCAGTTTAAAAAAAATAGGAGTGAGAACGTGAAAGCCTTCTTCCCCTCTTGTTGCCTAGCAACAATGACTGACTGTACTGTTCACAGTTCATTAACTCTATACAGAGCAGGATGCAGGCTTCCTGCCTCAGTAAATTCCACATCACCAGTATGTACTGAACCAGCAAACTGCTGGCAATCTTTCCTGGCCATCACAGCCAATCACTCTGGTTGGGTGGACAATGCAGCACAGCACGCTCCCACAGCAGTTGAAATTTGAGGCACAGGTAGACAAGGTGGGTAAGGTAAGAAAGTGTTTAGCACGTTGCCTACATTGCTCAGACCGTTGAGAATAGGAGTTGGGACGTCACGTTGAGGTAGTTTGGGATGCTGGTGCGGCCGCTTTTGGACTGCAGTGTGCAGTTCTGGTTGCCCTGCAAGGTAATCTGAACTCATGAGGGGCAGAGATAAGGTAAATAGCAAGGGTCTTTTCCCTAGGGTGGGGAGTTCAAAACCAGGGGCCATATTTTTAAGGTGAGAGGAGAAAGTTTTAAAAAGGACATGAGGGGCAACTTTTTTCTTTTTACACAGAGTGGTTCATGTGTGGAATGAACCGCCAGAGGAAGTGGTGGATGCAGGTACAGTTAGAACATTTAAAAAGACATTTTGGTAAGTACGTGAATAGGAAAGGTTTTGAAGGATATGGGCCAAACACAGGGACTAGTTTAGTTTGGGAACATAGTCAGCGTGGACTAGTTCGACTGAAAGGTCTGTTTCCATGCTTTATGACTCTATGACCCGATCACCCAGAATGGTCTGATCATTTAAACAGAAGAAGATTCCATTATCCGGTCATTCAAGTGTTTTTGAATTCCCATTTTAAAGCCTCATCTGGGAAAGATGACACCTGTGGTGCTCCCACTGTATCATCCTATACTGGGAGTGCTGGCCTAGAATGTGGCTTAAGTGTGCTTCAAACCAAGGAATGTACCAAGAGATCAAGCCAAGTTGACACACAAGTAATGGAACAGAACATATCACCTCACCACACCACCCCCCCGCCAGCCCCCCAAACTTACACCTGCAATCTGAACTTGAAAAGATTCATGCACACACAGCAGCCCCACACATTCTTAAAGCTACCCACAACCAGGGGGCTCAATCTCCGTATTATGGGGACACTGAGACCAGGAACGTGGCTTTGAAAGTTCCTCAGGTCTCGCAACATCTGTGGATAGAAACAGTTTAATATTACTAGTGCAGTAGGACTTCTTCAATTCTGAAAAGAGTCATAGTAGACTTAAAACATTAACTCTGTTTTTCTCTCTCCACAGATACTGCAAGACATCTTGAGCTTCTCCGGCATTTTCTGTACTTGCTTCAGATTTCCAGCACGTGCACTATTGTGCTTTTACTTGAAAATTCCTCCATGTCCAGAATGCATTCTCTTGATCTACACTTCATGAAATCGAAGTCCTCCAATGCCTACTGCAGCAACACCACAACAACATAGTCTCAAAGCTTCACTGGCCCATGTTGCAACAATAAACAAGTGAAAAAAACTGACTGCAAATTGCTTTGGGATGTCTCAAAGGCACCACTCTTATTGGAAACCACCTCCCAAGCCTCACATTGGAATAAGCATTAAATGTGTGAAAGGGTCAAATTTAATGTTACAGTGCATTGAAATACCTCAAAAACAAACACAAGCTAGCTGTAGAAACTTGGTGAAAGCACCAGCAGAGTCCATCAAGGTTTGATATTCTGCAACTCTGCACAAGTTCTGAGCATAATTAATTCTTTTTCAACTTTATGGAGTGGTTTCCTTGGACAGAGTTAGATTCATCCATTTGTCCAAGTAAATAGTTAGCATTTCAAGTACAAGCTGGGTAGTCAGTCAGCATGTGATAAAAAGCTTTTACACAACCATCACTCTATCATTGGTACACTCCATATCAGTATAAGAGTGATTACAGGGCGGGTTCTGGTGCAGTGGTAGTGTCCTTACCTTTGAACCAGGATACCTGAACTCAAGTCACACCAGCTCCAGAGGGGTGTATAATAACATCACTGAATGTTTTGATTAGAAAATATCTGACAGGGTTGTAGAACTGATTTCGATCTCTTGGTTTTGTTTCACCCAGTACTGCAATCCTGAAAGTTAGGCAAGGGATGGCAAATGTATTACACCAATCACTTTTTACAGCACTTTAAACCTTTGTAAAATGCCCCAGCGAACTGCACAAGTATCCATCAAACAAAATTGAGCCACATAAGGAGTTTAGCACCGCTCGACCAGAAGCTTGGCAAATGTGGTAAATTTTAAAAGGGAGGGGGGAAGGGAGAGGTTTAGGGAGGGAATTTCAGAACTTAGGGTCCCAGGCCTTTGAAAGGGAGTGTCGCTATTGGTAGAGTGATGGAAATCAGGGATGAACAAGAGATACTGAAGGCTTGCTGAAGCTTCCAGAGATTTTTTGGGGCGGAGTTGGTGTTGTGGGACCTGGAGATTGTAGAAAGAGTCATAAATAATGGGGTTTGGGGGAAGTTGTAGCAGCTGGAAGAGATTACAGAGAGTGAGGCCACAGAGAGAAATATGAATTATAAACTCGAGGCTTTCCAGACTGGGAGACAGTGTAGGTCAGTGAGTATGGGGGATGGGAAGGGGTTTGGGAAGTGGATGAATATAGCTCAATGAGATAGGGGTAGCAGTATCATTCAACTATAGCAAAGCTAACAGAAATCCTGTGCTGCAGACCAGTGTTCCTGATGATCAGCATACACCTCACTTGCTGAAAGAAATGGAGAAACAGGCACTGAGACAGATGCAATGATATAGTTGGCTGCAGACCTGTTTATGTGTTGTACTGTTCTAAGTTCTACGACATAGAGACCACAGAAGCTTATCCTGACAAAATAACAGTTATCCTCATTTAGTGCTTATGAGGTTATTTGCCAACAAGAAATGAGGGTGGCTACACACCTCTAGATCTAGTTTTGTTTAAAAAAAGTTTTAGTTTCACTTTTGAAGTTCCTCTTTCTGAATGACACTTCGTCGTCAGCAAAACCAATCTTCTGTCTAGTTGATCATCCTCTGTCCGCTCTATTTTGTTCCAGGTCAGTCTGTCTTCTCACAAAGTCAGAACTTCCCGACTTTACTGGGTCTTTAAAATCAGAATTCACTTGTGACTCTGGGACCCTTTCCATGCAGAGTGTCATGAAGGTTAGCCTGAAACTTTGCATGCTATGCGACATTGGTATTCGTACGTGACAGCCCTATGAAGTAATTTCTTTACGCGTATTTGATAGTGGATAATTGAGATGAGTTGGAACCAACATCCTGAAAATAACCACTGATCAGGAATTTAATACAAATACCGTGGCAACAAGAGCAATTCAAAGGCTGGGAATTCTGCTGCAGGTAACTTACCTCCTAACTCCTAACTCCTAAAGCATCTTCATCACTTACAAAGCACAAGTCAGGAGTGGGATGAAATATTCCCCACTTACTTGGGTGAGTGCAGCTCCAATAACACTCAAGAATCTCAACACTACCCAGAGTAAAGCAGCCCGCCTGACTGGAACCACATCCAATGCTGCAACCATTCGCTCATTCAATCACTGACTCTGGCAGCAGTGGGTACTATCTACAAGATACACTGCAGCAACTCACCAAAGTTCCTTCAAAAGCATCTTCCAACCAGCAAACCTCTACAATCCGGAAGGATAAAAACAACAAATACACAGGAGCACCATCATCTACACATTCCACCGCAATCAATAAATCAGCCTGACCTGGAACTAGATTGATTGGTCCTTTACTGCTGTTGGGTTAAAATCCTGGAATTTCCATCCTGTCAACATTGAGAGTCTACCGATACAACATGGACTGCAGTGATTCAAGAAAGTAGTTCACCACAACCAACTCAGAGACAGTTAGGGGTGGGAGTAATGCTCAAATGAGTAAAAAAGAAAAAAAAACTTTGCTAAAAGTGGTAAACATTCCGCAGTCCTGCCTGCGTTGCTAGTAATAAATACAAAATGTTCTCATAGCTACAAGATATGGCAGAAACTTCTTCTACGTGTCCTCAGATCATATTTCATTAAGTACACGAACAAAGCAGGAGGCCGTTCATTCCTTCAACCCCATTCTGTCACTCAATCAGACTATGGCTGATATGCATCTCTCCATAGTGGCACTGTTCCTTTAATACCCTGAGACCACAAGGGATGGGAACAAGAGTAGGACATTCGGTCTCTTAAGCCTGCTCTGCCAATCAATAGGACCATAGCTAATTTGATATTTCTCACATCCACTTTCCTGCGTTTTTCCCATAACCCTCGACTCCCTGACTGATTAAGAATCTGAACATCTATCTCTCTCGGCCTTAAATATACAGCCCTTTCAATGCAATTAATTTATTCTTTCATGGGATGTGGGGTCACTGTCAATGCCAATGTCTGTCACTCATTCTTAATTGTCCCTTGAACTGAGTGGCTTGCTGGACCATTTCAGAGGGTAGTCAATAGTAAGATTCCTTCTAATTTTTGCTGTAGCAGCTTCCAGTCGGTGTGTGCAGATCTCGCAGTGGCTGCACAGCTACAGTAAATGTTGATTGAGAGTTAACCACATTGCTGTCACAGGTAGGCCAGAGCAGGTAAGAATAGCAGATTTCTTTAAGGACATTAGGGTGAGTGGACAGGTTTTTTTTTAAAACAACAACTGGAAATTGTTTAATGGCTTCATTATTGAGATCAGATTTTCCAACTTTAGTGCAGCAAACATTTTATTAATCAGCACCGATGGGACCAGGAGTGTGCCAATTGATCAAATATTCCTGATAATCAAGGAGGTCCACATAATTAATAGAAAAACACACTATGTAATAGAAACGTAATGCAGGGGGCATACACATCATTGTAATACTTTAATCATAGCATAAATCACAAATAATAATGCAACACTACCTTAAATAAAACTTACTGGCAGATAGCCTTCTCATTCACACGCCCTCAACTTGGACATCGAGGTAGGTCACCATATTTGAGGAGAAATTGATTCGAAATTGATATTTTATGTGGCCGTTTGATTGAACAAGTATATTTACACTGAGGTAAATAATTTTAAAAAACTATAATAATTGCACAGGATGATACAGTAAACACCGTGGTATTTGAGGTATAAAATTTTTGCTGGTTTAATGAGCGTGCTGGTTCTTAAGGTGCTAGTTAAAACAAAGTTTGCTGTATTTGAATCTAAATTACACCAGCTGGTATGGTTGTAGTCTCAGATTAAATAGTGCACCACCAACTGCACTCCAGCAGGGAGCCTGTCTCTAGTTAGATGGAGCATGGCAGCTTGGAAGATAGCTAGGGGGGGTTAACACAAAATTGTCTGACACCTGCCTTCACCTAAAAGGGGTCAATAATAGATCCATTGCTAAGGATCATTGCTTGCTTCATAACAAT